CCTGACGCCGACCCCCGAGAACGGGCCACCACAAACTCCTGGAGGTGGATTCTTCTCGAGCATGCTATCTGCTGCTCAGAACGCTGCCAATACTTTAAGTACTGCCGTTGCTAACAATAACACTGGTCCGGGAGGAAACAAACCCAAGTCCAACCTTCCTAGAGACTCGCAAGCCGACGACGACGATAGGGTAGAAGTTGAACCGTCTGCTGGACAGTTGGAGGATAGCAACATGGGTGAAAAAGAACTAGCTATTAAGACCCTTGGTCAGGGCGATTTGAGCTTAAGTCAGTTAGGTATTCAGGAACCTGGAAGTACTGCACCGACTCCTACTACTTCCAGATTCTCGGACGCTGCGACGGAAGTTCGAGCACGCTCCGAGTCGGCACCTGTAGACTCTGCGACTGCATCCGCTATCGACGACGGCCAATCTGATGACTTAACTTTAGGACACGCGCGATCCGTCTACGAGCAGGCTATATCACCTCCTACCAGTGTATTCGAAGGCAATTCGGGAATCAAACGCAGTGGTAGTATCAAGAGCGCTCTCAGCCGAAGACGAAAACGTGGTAGCACTGGCGGAACGCAGGGTACTGGAACCACTATAGGCGCCGCTATAGCAGCAGCGAACGCCTCGGTGGCCCACCCCAACGCCGCCGGAAGTGTCCCCAAGCTTACGGGGTTTGCCATAGCGAGTAAGAAACGAAATCGAGACTTCCACACCTTATTCAAGAGTGTCCCCGATGACGACTATCTCATCGAGGATTATAGTTGTGCATTGCAACGCGAGATCCTCGCACACGGTAGACTCTACGTCTCGGAGGGCCATCTATGTTTCAGCAGCAACATTTTTGGATGGGTGACAACCCTGGTTATGAGTTTTGACGAAATCGTGTCAGTCGAAAAGAGGAGCACCGCCCTACTCTTCAAGAATGGTCTTATGATCACGACTCTCCATGCGAAGCACGTGTTCGCCAGCTTTGCTAGTCGAGACTCGACGTACGATTTGATAGTCAACATATGGAAACTCGGGCATCCCTCTCTACAAAGCTCGTTGAATGGTGTTTCGCTCGAGGGCACAGGCGGTGACAAAACTGAGAAGCTCGAAGATGCCGACGCCGTGGTGGGAAGCCAGAGCGTTACAGGGTCTGAAGAAGAGGAAAGCGAAGATGGGGAGGACGTCTACGATGAGGACCAAGAAGACGATGACGTACCCGACACATCGCACTCAGCCGACGTGAGCCCTACCGATACGGACGGTGAGAAAACGGGCGCGAGGAAGGTGTCTGGAGCACTTGCTACCACGGGTGCTATAGAAAAGACAGACTTTGCGCCCGCACCCTCTGGCCCAGCTGACTACCCCGGACCAGCTACTCATGCACCAACGGACTGCGGCGATACAGATGTCCATTACGATATAGTAGTTGGCGACGATGTTGTTGCCGCGCCTCTGGGGAAGGTGTACAATCTGATTTTTGGGCCTACGTCGGTCCAGTTCATGACCAAGTGGTTGACCAACGAGCAGAAATGCACCGACTTGCAGATGGAAGACAAAAAGGGATTGACTCAAGACAACAAAAGCCGAGGCTATACTTATATCAAGCCCTTGTATGCTTCGATAGGACCCAAACAAACCAAATGCATAGTGAACGAGACACTAGAAAACATGGACCTTGAGAAGAGCGTCAATGTGCTAGTCACTACGCAAAACCCCGATGTACCCAGCGGGAACGTGTTCTGTGTGAAGACCAAGTACTGTCTATCCTGGGCCGAAAACAACGCGACCCATGTCACGATCAACTGCACCATCGAATGGACGGGGAAGAGTTGGCTAAAAGGTAAGATCTGAGCTTTGCTTGAAATGAAAATGAAAGCTCACGTTTGTAGGACCTATCGAAAAGGGCGCCAAGGATGGTCAGACCCAATTTTGCAAAGACCTCTTCGCTCACTTGAAAGCAGCCGTTTCGACTGCTCCTCGTCCTGCGGCACTTAATGGCGGAGCAGCGAAAGGAAAGAAGAAGCGAGTCAAGGGCAAGTTGCATCAGGCATCTAAGGAGAGCTTGGGTGGTCCAACGGATTTGGCAGCGTCCAAGTCTCAAGATTGGGGTCTACTCGAGCCGCTCCACGGCATCCTAGGCCCGATCGTCGACATCATCAGACCTGTTCTAACCGGCAATGTGGTTTACGGACTATTAGTCGGGTTATTAGTAGCAACATGGTTTGGTTTCGGATGGAACGGCCAACCAAGAGTTGCACCGTACGGACGCGAGATGGGCTTCATCGGATACCCGGAACGTGCCATTGCTTTGGAGCAGATCTGGACACGGGAAGAAAGCGACATGTGGGACTGGTTGGAGGAAAGAGTTGGTCTTCATCGCGTCAACGAAGGGGCCATGCCTGTGCGCAAGCGGGTGGTAGAACCACAAGCCGTCAAGGAGAAGCTGCAGGAAGAACGTATGAGTGAAAGGGAGGTGGAAGAGGCACTCAGGATCACGGAGGAGAAATTACACGTCTTGAAATCCGTGATGGACCGAAAGAAGGCACCGTTGAAGTCTAGCACGCAAGGCCGACCTACAACCAAAGTACCAGCAACCGAGAGGTAACAATACGGATAGAGGGGAAAGGAGGGAGAGGAGGAAGAATAGGGCAAATTACCACACGTACCTACAGTACCTACCTACACTACACTACACACAGAGCTGCGACAGCCGATTCCCATATGTCAGCAAGCATCCACGACGCCACGACGAAGCATCCTTGGTTTTTTATTATGTAACTCATAGCCTGTATTCTACTCCCCGTCGAAAAGCACCCGGTTCTTTTTGATTTCGTCGAAACGCCTTGGACGTTTGGCTTACTTATGCTACATAGAATCTATCTTGTAATACAAGGGATGGAAATATAGTACCGCTTCAAAGCAATTGATTCATAACTTTGAAGTGATAAGATTTTGGGTCGTTGATGCTTTGTACTGATTTTTCTTGCTTCCGTTCTTTGATGCCTGTCAAGTAAATGTCATCCCAAGTTAAAAGGAAGAATAGGGGGATAGGGGGAGCTAGGCCTAAGCCACAGAGCGGGTAGGGACCCATATTATAGGGTAAAATTGGGGCATCCAATCCATTAACGCGTATCGATGCAGTAAAACGCGTCTTCCATCGCGGGGTCTTACCGTCAAACATTACCAACTACATCATATACTCACCACACCGCTTGGCACAAGTCATATTTCCATACGACAAACTTTACGAACAACTCTCTGAGATAAAAGGTCTTCAACTGAGCTTATTTCAGAAATTAAACCTAGAATCAATTCACAGCAAACATGGACGAAGACGAGATAGCCCATCCCTACAACGACAGCAACCGGGCCTTCCTGCAAGCCTTCCTCGCCCGCGGGACCATGACCTTCAAAGAATCCCAGCCGATCCTGGCGTCCATCTTCACGGCGCAAGACCAGCTGGAGCGGGGGGCGGAGGCGGAGGCCACGCGGGCAGACCAAGTAACGCGCGAGGACTTCCAGTCGTACGTGAGCGCGGCGTCGGCGGCCGTCAGCCCCTTGGACATGGAGATCCGCAGCGCGACGCACCAGGTGACGCGGGAGCGCGTGTACGCGCTGGTCAACACGACGAGCGACGCGCCGACGCAGCTGGCCACGCTGCACGGCCCCGAGGAGATCGCCTTCGCGCGCCGCCTCGTCGACGCCCTCTTCGACACCTACAACACCCCGCGCGCCGAGGCCCTGTGCCTCGACGGCATGCAGGCGAATAAGCTGCGCAAGCCCGCGCGCGGCGCCGACGACGACGACAGCGTCCTGCCCCACGCCGACGGGGAGAACGCAGGTGCAGAGCCCGCGGGCGCCTTGAAAGGCCTGAAGCCGAGCGAGGTCGAGACCGCGCTGCGGCGGCTCGTGGACGAGGGCTGGCTGGAGCGCAGCCGCGCGGGGTTCTACAGCCTGGCGCCGCGCGCGCTCGTCGAGCTGCGCGCGTACCTGGTCGACGCCTTCAACGACGCCGACGAGGCCGCGGCCGACCCGCGCGCCTGGCAGCGCGTCAAGTTCTGCGAGGCCTGCCGCGAGATCGTCACCGTCGGCCTGCGCTGCGCCGAGCGCGACTGCAACGTCCGCCTGCACGACGGGTGCGCGGACAAGTTCTGGCGCGCGAGGGGGGAGGAGGGGGGCAGGACGTGTCCGCGCTGCAGCACGGCTTGGACCGGGAGGGATTATGTGGGCGAGCGCGCGGTCACGGAGACGCCGCTCTATCAGCGCGGACGGCGGAAGAGCGGGAAGGGCCGGGAGAGGCGCGAGCAGCAGGTGGTGGTGGAGGAGGAGGAGATGGAGGATGCGCAGGGCGACGAGGAGTGACGTTTGTCTTGTCTGGGGATACGCTACGAACGATGGCTACGGTCACCATCACGGTCACGTCTATGGCCTGCTGTCTATCTGCTCAAGACGACGGTGGACAACGAATTCCTCCGTGGGATACATATTACTTATTGCTTGTTGCTTATTGCTTATTAGCTTCGTCTGCTCGGGGAGAGAGAAGCAAAAGCAACCGGATTGGAACGGAAAAGGAAAGGAACGGGAAAGGGAAATGCTAGATATCCGATACCCCTGGACTCACTACTCGGACAATGAGAGTGTACGGTTACGCTTTTGATGGGCTATTATGATGATGATGATTCTAAGCAGTAGTGTCTTACGTGCGTAAACCCTTTTCGAGATGGAAAGGGGACCAGTCTCATGAAATCATCTTTAGGGTCTTTATCTGAAAACGAGTTTGCGCTTGCTTACCTAGTCTTCGTGGGATATGTATATTAAGCTTCAAATTGCAACTTCAACCACCAGCAACAGGACCATTGGCAAGGTCAAAAAACGTACGTAAATAGGGGGTAGTGGAAGGGCTTGCTGGATAGTACTCGCTGTAATAAGTAGGTACCTAATGTAGTACCTCCCTGCTTTATGCATTCAGCTTGCTTCGACGATGCAATCCCAATCACGGAAGAGCCCAGTAGCGTAATGGTAGCATTATCCATCCTATGGAATGTGTGGGTTCGAATCCTGCCCGGGCTGTTATTTTCCTTAGTTTTCCTTCTTCTTTTCTTCGTGTATGTACGTGTGTGTTCTTAATCCACAAATAGGTACCTTTTAAAGTTGACTTCTGCGGGACTCGGAAGGTCCAAGCAATTCCAATGCCATTTAATGGTAGTTCTCGCCATGAAGCGTTGCATATTATGATATACGCACTGGATGGATTTCCATAGTGAAGTATGAAGCTAATTTTCTGAGAGCTCAGTTTGTTATAGCTAGCGGGCTACCTAGTGCCGCTGCAACTTCCGACCCCTATTGGAGGTATACGCACCTCCACTCGTATAGTCGTGAATCCTACGACTTAGCGTTCGCTTCATGTCCCCTCCGGCAGCATGACTACCTAACCACTAGCCAGATACATTTGGGTGTAGAATTAATGTCCACCACAGAGAATCCGTTGTTTAAAAGAGGTGCTAGTAAACCGCTTCAAATTGCAGCCACCTGCAGACGTATTAGCATCCCCCCTCCCCCTATTTCTGCATCCAAACCTCAGCCACCAGCTTGACCACCAGCCTGACCACTAGCCTGCTTTTTTCGCAACTCTCGGTTGCGTGCCAGCTGAACAAACGCAGGGTGAAGAGCTCCTCTGTAACGCATCAGTTCGTCCATCAGGCTCTTCGGCACGGCATCCATGACATCAACGGCAACTTGATGAATTGCTTTCAATGCAATGGTGAGTTCCATCGATAGGGATGTTGGCTGGAAATACTTCAGCGAGACGAACGGGCCTGGTGGAGCGACGCCGCCCTGGAGAAGGTTGCCCGTACATGCTGTGTCGTAAAGATTCGGGTGGATGAATTCGTAGTCTGGTGGATATCCCCATTCCTCTTCGAAGGAATCCCGGAGGTACTGCCGACGGACGAGAATGAGCTGTTGGAAGTTGGGGAAGTGCCTGCGGAGCTTGTCGACGCATTCTATGACTGTCACTTCCGATGGCGCCTCCCAGGAAATGGCCAGCTTCTTTACTCGGCGGAACTCTTTGAACATACCCTCGAACTCTATCAGCTCCGGAAGGAAGATTCCTGCGGAGGTCATGCGGAAGACGCTGTCCGACTTGAGATGGAGCGTGTCGCGCTCGAAGTCGAAGATCTTGCACTGGGGAGGGAAGTACGCCACGGGCTTACCGCTGTTGTGGATCAGCTTGTATGGCTTGGGGCAGTCGACATCAGCCACCCCCGGCAACGGAGGTGAAAGGAGTTTGGTTCCCCGGAGGGTGTAGTTGAGATCCCAAAGTACACTATACATATGTGGAGGATACCATCGCGTCTTGATGCTAGTCTCCCATAGGTTGCGATAGTTAGTCGTGATCATAACGAGTGTCACTGTTCTGGGTGAAAACTCGAAGTAGTCCTCGGCGATCATCAGTCGTATCTCACGAGGGATCTTGGGGACTAGGTCATTGGCTGTGAGAATACGGCTTGGTTGAATAGGTAGTGGAATAAATGGATGAGTAGGTAGATGAGTAGGTGGTTGAGTAATTGGATGAGTAAGTGGTTGAGTGAATAGTTGAGTAGGTGGTGGAGTAGGTGGTTGAATACATAGTTGCTTCTGAGGCTTCTCGACCCCAGGCGAGGATGTTCGTCGCGGGGAGGGAGGAGAGCGCATCGTGACGATTTGGTTCTGGCACGTAGATTGTAATTTTTTTACGGGCTACAGAGAGAACCCGGAAATAAAGAAAGATTTGAAAAGTCAAGTTACCTTAGCCAGCATTTAATGTTTTTGAAACGAGTGAAAACCTAGAAACATACCTAGGTATCTTCTTGTAGGAAGTTGGGACCAAGTGAAGTGGTCGAAGGAAGGACCAGATGAATACCTCAGGTAGGTATACGTTTGTACCTACCCAGCGCAACTTAGTAGTATAGGTACCTCCTTACAAGTAGCATGGTCGGGTTCGAACTATTATTACCTTTTACTGTATACAGTATACCAAACTTACCTCGGATACTGAGATGCCTTCACTTCTGAGAATTGGAAGTTACATCGCGAATAGGTACGTACCTGAAATACGTAGACTAAGTCGTTCAGGGGTAGCTCTCGCCACATCTAATCGTGGCTGTGCAGTGACATACGCCAAGACTCGAGCTCGAACCGCCCTCCCTCACCTGCATCTACTATGTAGCGACAAGAACCAATCAATGACGATCTGACCGACAAAGATAAAACAGGCTCTGGGGTATTAAGTTCGTCGTAGATTTGCTTCACAATTGAAAGGCTTTCTTCTTTCCTTCTTCATTTTATTTTCAGAATTACAAGTTAATCACATCCCGACTCTAATCCGTACATACGATACGAATTGTTCAAGATGCTCGAGTACTTCACTTACAAAAAGGTGAAGAAACACCGGGAGGAGAAGAGCGAAAAGCAGAAGGAGGAGAAGGGCAAGGGAAAAGAGAAGGAAGATGGCTCTTCCACGTCTGGTCTTAAGATCAATTCTCCAGAAGCGACGATCCAACCATCCCCGGACGAGGTCCCACCCATTCTCGACTCAGACGACGAGAAGTTTCTAGAGCATCTCACCTCGCCATCAGTTACCAGCCTCAACGATGACGACGAAACACCGCCCCCACTTCCCCCACGCATCAAAACGCCCGTCATAGACCTAGACAGCGACGCCTCGAGCTTCGCCAGCCTCAAAGACGACAAGACGGTATCCGCCAAGGAGGAAAAGAGCAAAGGCAAAGACAAAGACAAGTCCAAGCTGAAGAAGCACGAAAGCGACGACAAGAAGGACAAGGACAAGGACAAGGACCACAAGCCCAAGCGCTTCTCCTTCGCCAACATCTCGCTGAAGCGCAAGCCCAAGGACACCTCCGCCTCGGCACAGCACCTAGCCGTGCCCAGCACGACCGCGGACCCAGACCCGGAGCGCGAAGTGCGCAAGGAAGAGACGGACATAGCGCGCGTGCTGGAGGACCTGAACCTAGCCACGTCGCCGGACGGCAGCGGCAAGGCCTTCAGCCTGTCGCGCGAGGGCGCCGAGACGGTGCGCAAGTTCACGCAGGTGCTCAAGGACCTGGTGAACGGGGTGCCGACGGCGTACGGCGACCTGGTGCGCCTGATCGAGGACCGCGACGGCGTGCTCGCGCGCTCCTACGACAAGCTGCCCAAGAGCCTGAAGAAGCTGGTCGCGCAGCTGCCCGAGAAGCTGACCTCGAGCCTCGCGCCGGAACTGCTGGCCGTCGCCGCCGAGGCCCAGGGCTTGGCTACCGCCGAGGCCAAGGAGGGCGCGGCCAAGAAGATGCTCAGCCCCGGCAACCTCATGGAGCTGATCACGAAGCCGGGCGCCGTGGTCGGGCTGCTCAAGGGCATCGTCAACGCGCTCAAGGTGCGCTGGCCCGCCTTCGTCGGCACCAACGTGCTCTGGAGCGTCGCCGTGTTCCTGCTGCTGAGCATGCTGTGGTACTGCTACAAGCGCGGCCGCGAGGTCCGCCTCGAGAAGGAGGCCACCGACGCCGCGGCCGCGTCTACGGCCGCGGCGCTCGGCGGCGAGAGGGAGATCGTCGAGGTGCAGGATGGCGAGGGCGACGGCGCGAAGAAGACCCTCGGAGAAGCGGACACGACGGGGCCGAGGCTGGAGGAGGTGTTTGCGGAGCCGCAGTCGCAGTCGCAGCCCGTGCCGGTTATTTCTAGCACAGCACCGAAGTGATCGGTCATCACTTGCACCGGCTTCTTTGTTAGAAGAGAGTCGGGGCGGGAAGGGGAGTGGGTAGAAAGGGCAAGGAAACGGAAGAATAAAAAAACGAGGGTGAAGGAAGGTCTGTCTGTCGCCTCTGATACGAAGGTTATGAGAACTCACTTACGACGGATAGCATAGGTAGGTAATTATGGTGATACCCGGTTGCTTTACATTTTTACATCACGCAAGGAATTCTATCATGACCTATTTGTTTTGCACCACGCACGGTCATCCCCAAGTTGGAAGGGAAAGAAGAAAGAGTAATGGTAATGATAGATCATGGGTAGCTGCGTCTCGTTCAGTCTATTATGGTGCGGCATGGATCAAATAGACGCCTCTTTTTAGTTTTGATAAAAATGAATAGCACCTCTCCGCCACTTATAACATGGTCTTATAACATGGTCAAGTCAAAATTGTATCACGGCCAACGCAAGACAGGGGAATCAGCACTCAATAGACATGTTAAGTTCATAAATCAACGATTCTCGATTGTATCACGGCAAACGCCTATGGCTACCCCCTATCCCTAGGTATCTACACCTTGGTATCATGATACGCACCAGCAAATTCACGCGTTTCGTAGCCTCTCCCTCTCCCTAGAGAAGCGTATATCGTGAGCCTATGCACTGCTTGCCATGTAGCAATTTTATAAGTTGCATCTTCATATTTGCCCCCATTAGGCCAAATCACGCCTGCTCAAACCAAGTACAACCCAGCTTCCCCTCCCCTGATTCACTTAGGTTCAGTATAACTTCCAACTAAGCAGAGTACTTGACCCTCTTCCCGCGCTTGCTAGGCCGTAAGCTGCGACCGGGCATTGTCGTCGTTGTCGTTGTTGTTGTCGAAGTCGACTTGCTGCGGGTACTATATTTGCGGGTACTAGACGGTGTTGTCGTCGGTGTCTTCGTCGGCGTCGAGGAGAGTGCATCGGATTCCTGTGCTTTCGTTTCCTAATCATCCTGCACGAGCTCCTTGATCTCCTCACGCGCCGGTGCGATCCCTGCTGTCGTCTCCGCCTTGCCGTCCCTGCCACCTGTCCTGTCAATCACGCGTGCGCCGTCCTGCATCCAGAAGTCAACTTCGTCGACGACGTCTGCGACGACGTCCTCCACCACCTGCTCGTCGTACCGCTCTGCCACCGACCGCACCTTGTCTAGCTTGTTGTTGAGGCTAGCTGACGGGGGGAGCGCGACCTGCACCGTGTCGGCGTCCACGTCCACCATGTCGACATCACCGTCGCCGTCGCCATCTGCGTCGAGCAAGCCCGGTGGCGGGTACCAGAACTGTGGGCCAAAGTTGACCTCGGCGGCGCCGCCCCGGAATACGCTAATGGCCGGGTAGTACCCTAGCATGCCGTCGTCCATGCCCTCGCGTGCACCAACCTGGGCCTGTGGCTTCGAGGCTGGTGGCAGGAAGGCGAGTAGGTCCGTGAAGGGCGTGCCCATTAGCTGGCCATTCTTGTAGATCTTGATGCAAGAATTGGGTAGGGTGCGCAACGCGGGGACTTGGTGATTCGGGTTGGGTTTATCGCCGGGTCGACTCCCTATGGTTCCCGAGGGGCCTACGGGGGACGGGTTCATGAGGTCCTCCAGCTCCTTAGTCGTGTGGTAATCGATCTTCTCGAGGTAGATGTGCTGCTTGAAACGAATCGGTATACGGTCTCGGACGATGTTGGCTGCCTCTGCCGTCGGCTCCTCCTCGTCTATCAGATCAACAGCTGGATTGTATTGGCCCTGGACAACCTTTCGGTGCAATTGCTCCGAAGGCAATTGGATCTCGAGACCGATGACGTCGCCCTCTCTAATCTCTTCGCCCGGCGGGAAGAAGTCTTTCGGTCGCGACATATGGACTTTTTGGCCCTGTACGTCTCGGATGCCGTAGCTATAAGCATCGAAACCAATGGGGGCATCTAAGGAGGCCTCTCGTCTTGCGAAACCCATGCGCACGTGGCCATGCGACTCGACATTTCCACCCGCATCGCTCTTGATGGTGCCTCTCGTGATCTTGCATTCCCAGTACCATCGGCCCTGACGTATAGCCACGTTAGCTCTTGCCGACCGGAAGCCCTTGTCCGTTGTTATATGTCGGCCTGATTGGTCCATATACATGTAAGTGGCAGCATCTTCAAAGCTGATGTGGGCACCGTAAGGTTCGGGTTCGGTCTGGCGGTAATAGAAGGAGGATGGGAAGGCAGGGTCAGCGATGCAGTGTAGGTAATGGTAGCTCTTTTTATTATAAACACTTGACGTATGGAAGTTAGTATAAGATTGCGATAGCTTCACTTCATATCAGATGCGACTCACTGTTCCGAGGTCTCGTAAAACTGCACGGTAGATCCGTCGGGAGCGGGAACCTCGTGGTGGGGAGTAAAGACAGGACCTCTAGCAGGCTCGAAATCGGACGGTTTCGGTGGCGCTATCTTAAAGCGCAGAGGCGAAGCTTCGGTGGGCGGGAGGTCCTTCACCTTGGGGTCGGGCGTAGCTCTATTACTATCTGCTGCGCCTAGTCCACCTTTGGACTCACGCTTCTTGAGCGTCTCCTTCTTACTCCTAGCTGGCTTCTCGCGGGGTGCCATGGTTGTTGCTGCTGTTGTTGCTGCTACGTCGTCTTGCGACTGGGACTTGATAGGTTTTACATCGGGGTTAGGATTGGGGTTGAGTGGTGAGGAAACAGGCGGCGCGTGGTCATCTTCGAGTGGACGTTTCTGAGGGACAGAGATGGGAACAGGAACAGGAACAGGAAGGACAGGTATGGGTACGGGGGTGACTTGGCGCTTTGGTAGATCTACGTCGGTTGCCATAGTGCTAATAAAAAAGCTTAATATCGATATACGCTAGTTTACTACAATTATGGAGTTAGGAAGAAGTTATGGAGAATACAATTGTTGAGATCGATATGAGGAAGAATGCGGTTGGGAATTTTGTTGATGGACGGACCCGAACCTTGTTGCGGCTCTGCCTGTAGTACCTGTAGTACCAGTCCTAAAATACAGGGCATGCACCTGCCTAGAATCCTAGAATCCCTACCTAAAGTAACCTAAATTTCCGATCCTACCTACCTCCCTGCTGCAACCTTAGCGTCACACTTACACCTAGAAGTCCAGAAATGCTTGTTCGTCGCTGCCATTACCTCTCAAGAGTGATACCATTTATTAGGTAAAAATAGAGTATTTGCAATTGCCTACGTAGCTTCTTCCATTATTTCATTAGTCTACCTAGGTACAATACAGAAATTATATATCATAAGGCAGGTACATAGCAGAACGACTCGTCGGGAAAGAACGTGCATGAACACCTCCCACCAAGTGCATAACATACATCTAGTGGAATAAGAAAAGGAATCAATCATACCGACCAAATAAAACGAGAATAATATGACAAAAGTCATAACGATAATTGCAAAAAGAAATAGAAGCAAAAAAAAGCGACCACCACGGGACTCGAACCCGCAACCTCAGTCTTTCACTCCGCATTATGCTAACATAACGTCAGATAATAGGAGGACCGCGCGCTACCATTGCGCCAAGCAGTCGGTGAACGAAGTCACTTCTTCGACCAATGTGAATTTGTTTGCTTATTTGGTACTATGACCCCTTGACCGGCACTCCCTCAGAGACATACTCCACACAGTTCACCTAAAACGAACTTAGGTAGCTGCCACATTCCAGATCCCATCTCCGCTAGCACTGCCCAGTCGTATTCCATTTGAGAAACGACCATCATCCGCAAGTTCCTGTCCCTCGCATGAACTCACTCCTCCAATCATTGGGATGTGCCCAATCAGATTTCGACAAACGCTAGCGGCATGCGCCACCACAGCCACAATCACCAATCAGAGGCGGGGATTGTTAGGGAGGGGGAGCATAAAGCCTCCTTATCCATGCCCTGCTTGTTCGTGCTTGAAGTTTGGTAATTATGATATCGAGACTTGGTAAGGTTCTGAAGAGAGAAAGAAAGAAAAGGGTAGTTTCCATAGAAAGTAGCACCTGTTTATAATAAGCAACTAGTCGCATAGGGGCGGCATTCTCTACCACTCACTCTTTAGAATTACAGTAGTTTGTCGGGAATGACGAGTTTGCCATAGAGTAGATAGTCACGGAATGCATCGTATAGGAATCCATACCACAGAAAATATCATACACAACTCCGTCGTCTGGAGACTTTGTCACGTTAGACTTGAATACCGGAATGATTATGAATAGAAAAATGCCTCAATGGGATACGGGATACGCAAACCTAGGTCAGATATATCCCCTTCTACAGACTCCGAGGGCAACTGGCTACGTAGCCTATCTAGGCTACTTTCCTAGCAGACACTACTTCAAGTCTTTCCCAAGGTTGGAGCAACATTGCGCAATACCGATATGTAGCCTTAATCAAGTTGAGGGGAGCTTTACCATTATGCACGAGCGAATTGTAGGGAATGCCCAACCTAATCCGACGCAATCAGATTGCATCCTAGCTCTCCGAGCGGCTCGGGCCGTCCAGCGTGGCCAGGCACATGGCAATAGCATAGTCTCCGTCGTGGCTAATGCTCAGCCGCGCATACACATTCTCGTGGCCGCCTTCGCCCTTGATGATAGCTACCGGTGGGCTAGATTGGTATTCATTCGGAGGGGCGTCATCTCCTGCTGCATTCGGAGAAGAGCCAGAAACGTCTCCATTTTCTGGTGGCTCCGCAGGCAAGTCGTGTTCATAAGTGACCACGATATCGTGGAAGGAGAGCCTCCGGAGTGAATATGCCTTTACGGTTGCTTCTTTGGCCGCAAACCTAGCGCCGCATGTGAGCAAGCTATCTACATGTAAACGAAATGTTGCACCAACCTGCCAGCCATAAATTCAGCAGCCTTCCATAACCTCGGGTCTCTTTGCTTCGGATTCCTGGCAGCATTTTCGGTGTTTGATAAGAGGTCCGGAGAGCGAGGCATAAATCCTTCAGGTGTAAAGACTTTTTTGAGGATCCGAGAGACACCAGGTGTGTCCAGCTCTTCAGGGGTGAGGATGCGCTGGACGAATTTGGTGGCCATAGGGGAGGTTAGGTTCTTGTAAATCCTAGAAACGCGGCAAATATCCGTGCCGATTCCGATTCCTATTGGGAAAACACGAGGAAACATGATGATAAAACTTGATTGATCTAATTTGGGTATTAGAAAGCTCCAGAATTCACTGTTGAAGAGAAGTAATGTGTTGGATTGTGGGATGATCTTATCGTTATCGCCAACTTGTAGTAAAAATAAGTTGAAATTTTGAATGAGAACGCCACGTAATTTTGTCTACTCTTTTCAATTATATTTTCTTTTCATTCATGACAATTTTGATTACGACTCATTTTTCTGTCCATCATGCTATAAACCGGCACCGCATGAACGATTAGTACAATGCTAATTTGAGACCATGACAACTCGCTCCCTAATCCGACCAACGCCATTGCACCGGCCAAGCGGGTTCAAGTGAAAGTGTAGAAATCACCCCTCATCATCTGCATGACTACGGCCAATAATGAGTATTATACCTCTCAATCACATATCTCATCGTCCGCCCACAGACCCCTGAGATCTTTCCATCTCCTAAATACTTCTCACTCACTAAGGAGTGGAGCTCGTTCGGCATCGCCATTTCGTGCTCTCGCAAACTTGATATCCCTCCCGGTCGCAGAGGGTATGGCGACTACCACGGTGGCAATAAAGAGAATCGCCATGATGATGAAGGCGAAGATCCACTGGAATGCGATGACCTGTCGGAAGAACTGAGATACTCCAATCGCGGCTGACAGGACACTAAGGTTGAAGCCCATGGTGTAGTCCTAGTAAATGTCAGAAGACTTGTATGACAGCTTAGAAGCACGGAAACGGTACTAACCTTGTAGACAATGATGAAAAACAGACCATATACCAGGATCGACCAGATGAAGATGTTACCAAAGATGCGGGCAACAAGCGAGTTGGGATGGGGCACCATAATAGCTCCGTTCCAGTAGATCGCAACGAAGGTCCATGCCAGCGGCATGGAGACGACAGCATTGTGGATGAATCGAGCATATCCAGGGTAGCGGAAGTATAGCGAGGTCAAGTTGATAAAGTTGAGGATGATGAACAGCTCGGCCCAGCCGAAGAGCGAGCGGACGAAGAGCATGACGAAGGCGAAGTGGAACAGGTTGTTGATGATGAAGTGGCTTCCCACCGAGCAGGCCGCGTTCAGCTTTTCCACGTTGCTGGAGAAGAGGTGGGCGATGTAGCCGCCCTGAAGAACGAAGAGCACCAGCCAGTAGATGCTGGCGATGATGTGGTTCATGCGGAAGGCCGTGTAGTACGCATCGTTCTGGGCCCATATCTTCCGGCGATACCAGACGCCATCGTGGGGCTTGTGGAAGGTGTAGTAGAAGGAGACGACGATGGACAGCAGCCAGGTGATTGTTGTCAGGACCTTGTAAGTGATGACGGTGTTCTTGCTGTGGCTATCGCGCTTCGCGAATGGATTGACTATTCAGTCTATTAGCATGATCGTCTTTTTCAATTTGTGGTGAGCACGTACTATGGTGAATTCGCTCCATGTTGGCTGTTGCTTATGTCCAACTCGTATAAGTGGAACAGACGGACAGGGGATTCTGATTTACGATGCTATTACCACTGTACTGATGCCAGAGTCCCAAATGCTCCTATTGGGGAATCGAATAGTCTAAAGAGAAAGGCAGTGGAAAATCTAGAATGGGGAATCAAACAGTTTTAAAGCATCAGCAAAATTGATGCACAAGTGAGCACCGGACTCTTTGTCATTCAATAACCCTTAACTGGTATATAGGTACCTAATAGGCCTGGACCTGCTCTGGAATGACGATGGTGGAACTTCGTCTCATGCATGAATATGCGGGGAAGCTACATGTAAAAGCGGATATTTAATGACGTTGGTACCCTTAGTTCTAAAATACATAATTGTAGTCATTCTTTCGGTTCTTACCATCTCTTAAACTCATACATGCTCAGGCGTGTGTCATTTCCCATGCCTGTGGAAATTTTCACCGAGTTCTGCCTAGGATTTTTCTAAAGCAGGATTTCTCTCCCTTCACCTGCAGCTGCGGGCATGAAACACGGAGGGAAACGCCCTATGAGGTTCGGACCGCCACCACGGGCTGTTACACCGTGACGAATCATCTTTCCCAATTGCCTCAGATGTGGCTGGTGCGAGTCTCCCTTTGGGTATGAGTTTCGGTACTAGGTAGATTATTAGGTAAGGAGATGCCTAGGACTGTAAGCTCTCAGAGTCTATGACGCGCGGTGTTGCTACAACATACGAGTTACGAACCATGGACGTAATGCCGCGTTTGGCCGGACCCAAACGGATGCTAGCTTGACGAAACAATCGAGATTGGTCCCTGTCACGAGGCTATTTGGGTCCATAGTTAGCCACGGACTAGGGACTTTATCTGTTTTTTTAGTCTTAAACTTCGCTTTGTCTTGCCAACTTCTATTGTATACCAATTCCGTTGTAGGTCTCTAGAATGGACCACAAGTCTCGTTGATAATGAACAATCTGAAGAGGTTGTAAATACATCGACAATATGCTGACCTCATTCAATAAATGACGTACACGTTCGAGGGAGAACGCTACAACATAAATAGCCCGAACGATATAGGGAAGGTATTAAGGTGAAGATCCTCGGCGTGGGAGCATTTGGTCCGGTTCGCAGGACAAGGGAAGTTTCCAGTCGGATGTGCGACATGGCCAGGCAGCCAGGCCACTTTGGAGACAAGCAAGCCTTGGCTCTTAAGCTTAGGAGCTTGATCCGGTAAGCTGCCTAGCTTCTATTTGTCGAGAGATCTCCCTAAGCTGCGGGGCAGGGCGAAGTGATGTTGCATTGATCGGCGTTCCAGAGTACGATGCAAATCCTACATATCGCCTACAGAGACTTAGAATTATGAGAAAGGCTTAGCTTTCATTTTTCCAATTCATGACTGCCATCAAACTCGTTAATACTACATATGTCATGGGACCTTCCACGGCTCTCCAATATGCAATTCACTCATTTAGGACTATGAAGACCGAGGTCTTATTCACAATGGTTACTTACTATCTTGGCATAGGTTAAAAGGCCTTACCAAAGGCATGATATTTAGTGGTGACAGCGGGAAGAGACTTGAGTGACCAAATTATTCCTTTCCCCGTTTCTCTCGATATCAAATTCACCTTCCCCTCAATTTTATTTTTCTTGGCGCCCACTGTTAGTGCGGCGTTAGGAGCCTGCCCTGGAATGGCGGCGCAACCCCACCCAAACCACGGCCGGTGCCCATCTGGGCTCTAACAACACGGAAAACTCTGCTTTCGACGAATTCAACACCACGAAACATCACGAGATTCCAACCGTACGCCGTCGTAATAGGATAATTTTATCCGGGAAGGTATTACGAACCCACGGCTACGTCAAATTCACTTCTTTTCTCCGGCGCAGACCTATATTTCGAAGCTCGTCGCTGTCCATACAATCGTACGACTATCAACACCTACCACTTATCCTACGCCGCTTAGTCTTCGCGTGAC